TTTAACTCTTGCTTTTCACTCATATGCTAGTAGGAGATGCTCCGATTCTTCCATAGATGATCTCTTGCTCAAATATTGTGATTTGGTGTAGTTTAGATCTTGCTTTTCACTCACATGCTAGTAGGAAATGCTCCGATTTTTCCATGAATGATTTCATGTTCAAGACTTGTGTTTTGGAACTAGTCTAGCTTGTGCTTTCCACTCACAAAGTAGATGATGACATTCCGTTTCAAACTTGGTTGCATTCATGAGCCATGATCATGTGTTGGAGCAAGTCTCACTCAGATGCATGGCTCAACTCTCACAATATGACATTCTGTTTCAAACTTGGTTGCATTCATGAGCCATGATCATGTGCATGAGCAAGTCTCACTGACATGCATGGCTCAACTCTCACAATATGACATTCTGTTTCAAACTTGGTTGCATTCATGAGCGATGATCAGGTGTTGGAGCAAGTCTCACTCACATGCATGGCTCAACTCTCACAATATGACATTCCATTTCAAACTTGGTTGCATTCATAAGCCATGAGCATGTGCTTGAGTAAGTCTCACTCATATGCATGACTCAACTCTCACAATATGACATTCTGTTTTAAAGTTGGTTGCATTCATGAGCCATGATCATGTGCTTGAGCAAGTCTCACTCACATGCATGGCTCAACTCTCACAATATGACATTCCATTTCAAACTTGGTTGCATTCATGGGCATGATCATGTGCTTGAGCAAGTCTCACTCGCATGCATGGCTCAACTCTCACAATATGACATTCCGTTTCAAACTTGGTTGCATTCATTAGCCATGAGGATATGCTTGAGCAAGTCTCACTCACATGCATGACTCAACTCTCACATTATGACATTTCGTTTCAAACTCGGTTGCATTCATGAGCCATGAGCATGTGCTTGAGCAAGTCTCACTCACATGCATGACTCAACTCTCACATGATGACATTCCGTTAAAAAACTTGGTTGCACTCATGAACCATGAGCATGTGTTTGAGCAAGTCTCACTCACATGCATGACCCAACTTTCATATGATGGTGTTCCGGTTCATCACTTGGTTGATCTTTCCTGTATGTGCATGTGCTTCTCACTAGTTTAATCTTCTCATTGTCAAATTCGTGTGTGTTGTAGTGTTCCGGTTCATACTTGGTTGATCTTTCCTCTATGAGCATGTGTTTTTCACTAGTTCAATCTCCTCATTGTCAAGTTCATATGTGTTGTAGTGTTCCGATTCATACTTAGTTGATCTTTCCTCCATGTGCATGTGCTTTTCACTAAGTTCAATCTTCTCATTGTCAAGTTCATGTGTGTTGTGATGTTCCGTTTCATACCTAGTTGATCTTTTCTCCATGTGCATGTGCTTTTCACTAGCTCAAGCTTCTCATTGTCAAGTTCATGTGTGTTGTAGTGTTCCGATTCATACTGAGTTCATTTTTCCTCCATGTGCATGTGCTTTTCATTAAGTTCAATCTTCTCATTGTCAAGTTTATGTGTGTTGTGATGTTCCGATTCATACTTACTTGATCTTTCCTCCATGTGCATGGGTTCTTCATCAGTTCAATCTTCTCATTATCAAGTTCATGTGCGTTGAAGTGTTCCGGTTCACACTTAGTTAATCTTTCCTCCATGTGCATATGCTTTTTACTAATTCAATCTCCTCATTGTCAAGTTCATGAGTGTTGTAGTGTTCCGGCTCATGCTTAGTTGTTTTTCCTTTATGTGCATTTGCTTTTCACTAATTCGATTCCCTCATTGTCAAATTCATGTGTGGAGTAGTGTTCTGGTTCATACTTGGTTGATATTTCCTCTATGTGGATGTACTTTTCACTAGTTCAACCCCCTCATTGTCAAATTCATGTGTGGTGTAGTGTTCTGGTTCATACTTGGTTGATCTTTCCTTTATGTACATGTGCTTTTCACTAGTTCAATCTTCTCATTGTCAAGTTCATTTGTGTTGTGATGTTCTGATTCATACTTAGTTGATCTCTCCTCCATGTGCATGTGCTTTCACTAGTTCAATCTTCCCATTGTCAAGTTCATGTGTGTTGTAGTGTTCCGGTTCATACTTGGTTGATGTTTCCTTTATGTGCATGTGCTTTTCACTAGTTCAATCTTCTCATTAACAAGTTCATGTGTGTTGTAGTGTTCCTGTTTATACTTGGTTGATCTTTCCTTTATGTGCATGTGCTTTTCACTAGTTCAATCTTCTCGGTATCAAGTTCATGTGTGTTGTAGTGTTCCTGTTCATACTTGGTTGATCGTTCCTCTATGTGCATGTGCTTTTTACTAGTTCAATCTTCTCATTGTCAAGTTCATGCGTGTTGTAAGTGTGTCGGTTCATACTTAGTCGATCTTTCCTCCATGTGCATGTGCTTTTTACTAGTTCAATCTTCTCATTGTCAAATTCATATATGTTATAGTGTTCCGGTTCATACTTAGCTGATCTCCTCTCTATGTGCATGTGCTTTCACTAGTTCAATCTTCTCATTGTCAAGTTCATGTGTGTTGTGATGTTCCGGTTCATACTTAGTTGCGCTCTCCTACATGTACACATGGTTTTCACTAGTTCAACCTTCTTATTCTCGAGTTCAAGTATGTTGAAATGTTCCAATTCATACTTAGTTGATCTTTCACTATAGGATGGGTGACCGACATTTGGCTGCTACTACTATGGGATGGGTGATCGACATTTGGCTGCTACTACGGGGAGATGGTTTGATTAGGATTAAAAGTCTCTTCGCTTCTCTGTCTCTCTCTCTTTCAATCTCTCTCTCTCTCTCTCGCTCTCTCTCTCTCTTTCTCTCTCTCTCTCTCTCTCTCTCTCTCTCTCTCTCGCTCTCCCTCATTCTTTCTCTCTCTCTCTCTCTCTCTCTCTCTCTCTCTCTCTCTCTCTCTCTCTCTCTCTCTC